CTAACGGTGCTGCTAATTGTTTGGTGCTCCATGGATCCCATCAACAAAAACCCCCTTTATGTTAGCATATATGCACCAGGCCCTGCCACCCCCCCCCTCCCCCCCCCATATGGGATGGGTCCCATATACTGGTCCCATATGAGATCTTCCCCCTCCCCCCCTGTGGTGTGGTGGGGGTGTGGCACTGTCCCCCTCCCCCCCCTGTGGTGTGGTGGATGGGTCCCATATACTGGTCCCATATGAGATCTTCCCCCTCCCCCCCCTGTGGTGTGGTGGGGGTGTGGCACTGTCCCCCTCCCCCCCCTGTGGTGTGGTGGATGGGTCCCATATACTGGTCCCATATGAGATCTTCCCCCTCCCCCCCCTGTGGTGTGGTGGGGGTGTGGCACTGTCCCCCTCCCCCCCCTGTGGTGTGGTGGGGGTGTGGTATGGTATGGTGGGTATGTATGGTGTGTATGGTCGGTCTGGTATGGCATGTTTGGAAAGTATGGTATGTTTGGTATGTATGGTAGGTATGGTATGTATGGCATGAGTGGTTGGTATTGTATGGATGGTAGGTATGGTATGTAAGTCTGTTGGATATGGTATGTTTGATATGACAGTATGTATGGTCTGTATGGTATGTATGGTTACTATGATGGGTATGGAATATGTCCTATCTAAGGTAGGTATGGTATGTATGGCATGTATGCTTGCTATTGTATGTATGCTATTGTATGTATGGTAGGTGTGGTAATTACATTTCATATGTATGGTATGTATGGTATGTATGATAGATATGATAGGTATGGTATGCATGGCATCATTGACATGTATGGTAGGTACGGTATATGTTCAACAGAGGTAGTGTTGTCAGAGTACACAGGTAGTAAACAGGAAGTAGATACAGTAGATACATAGCACATGTATGTATGACTATAGGTAGCACGTAGGTACTTTGAAGGAGTATGTGTGCTACGTAGGTCGCCTAAAAGGTAGCATGTACCTAGTAAATGCGAGGCTGGTAGTCAGAAATGCTGCAAAGACCTAGCAAATACGACGCTGGACCTCAGAAATGCTGCCAATAGCTTGCAAATAGAAGGGAATTGGGGCTACTACCTGGGGACCCAACCCATGGGGGGGGGGGGGTGGAGAGACGGAGGACGGGACCATATATACCCTCTGGTAAACTAACATAGCCATTGAAAATGGCCCATTTATAGTTGATTTACCCATTAAAAATGGTGATTTTCCATAGTTTTTTGTATGTTTACCAGAGGGTACCATACATGGATCCGTCATGGGATTGGAGGTTGATCCAGTGTCGCAGTGTCATTGAGGATCATCTTCCAAGAACTATCAACAGAACATCAAGAGCCGTCCGATAAAAAAACCATCAACAACAAAGCTTATTCCCATTAAAAATGGTGATTTTCCATAGTTATGTTATTTTACCAGAGGGTAGAACCAAACTTCGGGGTCTTAGCGGCAACCATCGGGAATTTACGTCATTTCCTTTCCTGCAGACTACTGACGTCCCTGCCTAAATTCACACACCTGTATTTCCATCCATCTCCCATCTCCCAACAGAAGTGAGGGCAATTACTTCGAAAGTCTCCCGGGGTTACCAGGAAGAAAAGCATCCTGTTGAAGATGTGTCCATCCAGTGACAAGCTTCTCAAAGTTTGCGGAGTCCAGATCAATCATCTGCCTTACAAACGCATCCCTTGTTTGCCATGGTATTTGTACCCTCTGGTAAACATACAAAAAACTATGGAAAATCACAATTTTTAATGGGTAAATCAACTATAAATGGGCCATGTTCAATAGCTATGCAACAAATTACCAGAGGGTAGAGCATGGCAAGATTGGTGTGCATATAATATCCACATATATCCACATAGATGTTTGTCTAGATGTCTACAGATACTGGTACAAAAAAAAAAAATGAGTTGCTGGTATTGAAACCCAAAATCGGTGTGTAGGCTAGGGGCATCCTTGCAGCGAAGAGTTAACCCCCCCAACCCTCTGGTCACACCCTGTGGTCACACCCTGTGAACATGAAAATAAGAATTCTGCAAAAGGCCAAGGTGGCAAATGAATACACATGATTTCAGAATGAAAACGCTGAATGTTATGCTTTCGGTTTTGTATCTCTGAAAATTGGGTACCCACAAATTCAGTGGTTGATCGTGATCGTCCCAATTCAATGGTTCAATGGCCGTCGTTCGGGCTAATGTTGCATAAATGGGTCGACTAAGTCGACGATTTAGCCCTTATATGAAGCCTCTTTCTATAGGGGATTCCCCATTGCCATGCTTGATTACCAAAGGGTAAAGCACATGACATTCCTATGACACTTTGGACTTAAAACTTGATTAGAATGCAAAAGGCGAAGGCTGCTCTGTTCATGTTCCATCTCCCTCGTTTGTAAATGCTGAGATCATCTCTAAAGCTAGGACGTGGTCAGTAAATGCGTTCTATTCACTCTCTCCTCCTCTCTATCTATCTGTCTATCTATCCAATCTAATATACTCTCAGCTCGTCTAATCTAACCTATTCTACCAATTCTATTCTATTCTTTTCTTCCTGCATATATATATATATACATATATATGGTAATATACAAGGATCCTCCCACAGTGTTTTGCTGAGGCAAGCTGCTCAGCACGGACCACGAAATGCTTCCAGCGGAGTCGACTTAAAGCGTCCACGTAGGCCTCGGAACAGTCCACATTTCACCCATGGCTGGTTCCATAAGCCTCAAATTTTGACCCATCATTTATCAATCACTATACCATATATACCATATATGGATATAGTAGATTTAAACCATATACAGTATATATATATATACATTGGTGGTTGAGCCACCCCTCTGAAAAATATGAGTTCGTCACTTGGGATTATGAAATTCCCAACTGAATGGAAAGTCATAAAATTCATGTTCCAAACCACCAACCAGATGAAGACCTTGCAATCTGAAAGGGCATCCGTGGCTGATTGGAATCGCTGACGGGTCTGAAATTGATATGTTTTATTTAAATATATGTGAACCATCGCTGATAGGATCGAAACTGATCTACTTAGCAACAAGACCCTTCTGCACCACAGGGGTTTGGAGCAAATATGTCTGAACAAAACCTGCAAGATGAAACATTTCCTGGAAGAGAGAGAGAGAGAAAAAAACTGGGAAACACTGCTACACCGGAGTTTATCACATGGATTTTTACTTGGCTTTTGAGATGGGCTTAGCAGCCAAGTAGCTGCCACATTTCTCTCTTCGCCTTCGACAATAATTATGCCCGGCCAACCAACCTGCGACGTTGGAATGTTTTTGCACTGAAGAATGCGGTTGACCATTCAACAGTTGGATGTGATTCCATTGGATGTTTAAGCACTGTCCATGGCGGAATCTGGATTACCTACCCCTCTGAAAAATATTAGTCGGTTGGGATTATTATTATTATTCTCAAAATATGGACAGTTTTTTTTCATGTTCCAAACCACCAACCAGTATAGAATTTCCAAACTTGGTTTGAGGTCTGACGCCTATTTCACGTCCAAAGATTCACGTCACCGATGGTGCTGCATCAGGTCGTTGCGAGTGGCCGCAAACCATTGGCTAATGTGGGCCACCTTTATCATCAATCAGCTTCAAGGATATGACGGATATGAGGCTTCCTTTTGCTTCCTTTTTATAAATCTCAAAAAAAAACATCAAATTCTTTTCTTCAATACTCTTCAATCCTATCAAACATCATCAAATCTGTTTCATATCCAACATCAAACCATTTCGACCAAAATCGCCCAAAGCCAAACCCAGACCTTGGCCAGGCCACCCAAATCCAGCTGTGCCTCGGGAAGAAAAAACGGTCGCGAATCTACAGGGTCATTGGAGTCATGGCCGTGTCTACCCTCTGGTAAAGTAATATTTGGCTATGGAAAATCGCCATGTTTGATGGGGAAATCAACTACTTATCAACTATTTCGACTGCGCCGTTTTCAATGGCAAACTGTAACAAATTACCAGAGGCTAAATTGTGAATTTACACATGTTTTGTCCCAAAATAGATTGAAAGGAACATCCAACACGATCCCAACATTGAATCACATTGATGGAATTATGCAAAAACATGAAGAATTGATTGATGACCAAGGGAAACATCGACAATGCGGAATCCTGCAGGTTTTTACTCTCCATCTTCCCGATGTGCGAGTTGGTATGTGGTCAGCATGGCTGTTTGCCCGCTGTGTCAGCATGGCGATATGGGTTATAAACCACTTACTGCACTGTGTATACAGTATACCCTCTGGTGAACTAACATAGCAATGGAAAATCATCATTTTTAATGGGAAAATCCACTATAAATGGCCATTTTCAATTGCTATGTTAGTTCACCAGAGGGTACTACTTGGGATGCATGTCCAAGTCGTTAAGTGGATCCCCTGAAATCAGTGGATGTACTCGGCCATCAGTAAAACTCCAATTATCATCCCATAGATCCACATTCCAGGCTCCAGTCCTCCATGATTCTGATGAAAAATAGAATACTCTCTGTTAAACTCACAGTTTGCTATTGAAAATGGCCATTTATAGTGGATTTTCCCATTAAACATGGTGATTTTCCATAGCTATGTTAGTTTACCAGAGGGTAAGTTTCTTGGCTTTCTTCCCCCATATCCCTCATGTACCCATCTTTGGTTGGCACCATCTGGCCGCTTCGATTGTTTTTCGGTCTCCAAATTCTCAAATTACAATTGGTCAGTTGCTTCAACCCATTACATGTTGTTCCGGGAATCATCATCCCATTTCTTGCAACCTCAAGTCAATCAACCATCAACTTCCTTCCAACCATCACTGGTTGGTGGTATACCTACCCCTCTGAAAAATATATTAGTCAGTTGGGATTATGACATTCCCAAAATATGGAAAGTCATTCAAAATTCCATGGTTCCAGTCACCACCAACCAGATCAACTTCCAACCATCAACTTCCAACCCAACTGCTACTCCAAGTGCTACTCAGTTGCCGCCCATTCCTTAATGGCCTGTCGTTTCGAGGGCGCAATGATGTGATGCGAAAACATGGCCCGGCGCCCCAGCGTTACAGGCCCACCAGCCCGGCGCCCCTGCCACAGCGGCGCCGGCATCGGGGAGTCCTGGAACAATTTTCGGCATGGAGAAAAGTGGTTGATAGATGATTTCCCCATTAAACCACCCCATTATAATTGGTACATCAATGTAAATCATTAATGCAGCATAATGGGTAAATCATCTCATGAAAAATCATTCCATCACAATGACTTACTGGTGCGTTTTACGTAGGGAATGGATGGGTTGCTGGGGGTTGCTGGGATTATCATTGATAGTCATTGTGGATCATTCCCTCATTCCCTACTAAGCACCAGTAAGAAATGGAAATATGATGAAAGATTGATATTTGATGATCATGGTTTTATATGTAGTGGTTTGTAGCTGTAAAATGTGTTAAATGTGGAGAGACGTATCTAATTGTCTATGCAGATGTTTAAATCACTTTATATCCAGATAAAGTGACAATGAGCTACATACATGTCTACGCACAAACCATTTGATAGTTTAATAGAAAGTACATTGAACCAATACAAAATATGGTTCTTGGACCTGCAGTGAGAAGCACAGCATGAACTTAAATTGTGATATATGTCTAGCTCAAGAGTATGATACTGTCCCATGCGTTGATGAAACCAGGGTTTCATCTTGTGGCTTGTGGAGGGTTTGTGATGGTTTCTGGTAATAATGAGTACAGTGTATGGCATTTACCCTCTGGTAAACTAACGTAACTATGGAAAATGAGTAAATCCAACATAAATGACCATTTTCAATAGCAAACTGTGAGTTTACCAGAGGGTATAAACTATAAACAAAACTGGGGCGGTCCCAAGAGATTGTTCCAAGACATTCCAGGTACCAAGTGCCTTTTATCTTGCCTTCAGGATCCTGCACGCACCATGGAATAGTGCCAGTATGCAGGATATGCAGGTTTTCCTAAGTCATGGGGGTAGCCCCTTGCATCATCCAAGTCAGTCGAACAGTTTACCCTCTGGTAAACTAACAAAAAGCTATTGAAAATAGCCATAGAAATAGTTGGTTTACCCATTACAAATGGTGATTTTCCATAGCTATGTTAGTTTACCAGAGGGTAGTATTGTTCAACCCCTGGTGACTTGGGGTTCCCCCATTTTCAGTATCTCGTCAAGTCCTCCGGGATGCATCTCGTGCATGCGAAATCATCCAGTTCTTCTTTGGCAAATCTTTAAAAAAAATCGGTAGAGTCCCACAAAAGATCTAGGGGATCATCATTCAGTACTCCAAAATGGGATGAACCATACCAGAAATGGCCAGATTCTGTGTTTCCCTGAGTCTGAAAAAAAAGATCCATAGCCTGTTTTGCACATACATCGTTGTTGGCTATGTCCCCATCATCATGATTTAGTTTGAATGCGCATATTTCCACTCTTCTAAATCCTCCAAAATCAGGAGAGTGGCCCGAAGTGTCTGCGTTTTTTTAATTCAGATAGAACGTTTGGGTGCCTAAAAAATTGGGTGCTCCTTGATCCACTGCTTAATCATAATGTTCTCATATGTTCTAGATGAAGCACACAGAGTTGGGGATACACCCCGTTGTCAGACAAGCCCATTCATGATAATATGAATGATTACTCTCTGGTAAACTAACATAACCATGGAAAATCACCATTTTCTAGCTGGGTAAATCCACTATTTCGACTGGGCCATGGCTTCAAAATATCTATTTTGACATAACCAGAGGCTATGCGGCTATACCATCATATATCCGATTAAATCCCATTAAATCCCATTAAATCCCATTGAATCACCATTAAAACACCATTAAATCACCATTAAACCCTACTAAATCACCATTAAATCACCATTAAAATCCTATTAAAACTGGGGAAATCACCCAGTGACTGCTCCACTCCTCCACTTCATCCTCATCCCCAGGGATCGAGGCTGCCATGGCTACCTGGGGAGAGCAGAGCCCAAGCGCAAGAACAATTTTCGAGCCATGGGGAGAATGGAGGTTTGTAGCTGGGAAAATCATTGAACACCATGTGTATATATATATATATACAGATATTATATATGTGTATGTATATATATATATATATGTATAAATATATGTGTATATATATATATGTGTATATATATATATATGTGTGTATAGATATTATATATATAAGATATATATATAGATAGACGTATTTAAATGGTGGATATATGTGGATATCATTTTCCAGCCACATCTTCCTCAACAAAAACAAACAGAAGCATGGTTTAATATTGGAACTTGAGGGGCATGCAATTCACGGGGAGATCGTTTTGATCGAACATGTGGTATTCCCCAAAATCGCATCTTAATTCTAAAAATGATATCTTCTGGGGATATTCTAGGTACCTCCAACTTAGGTTCCTCCAACTTTGGTTCCTGAAATTCCCATTGGCCCATTGAAATGATGACCATCCATTGGAATTTGGGGTAGGTATTCAGACAACCCACTACAACTGGGATATCTCGATGCAGGGAACATCACAACAATCCAATCCGTTGGTATTCGGTGGCTTGGTTCAGGCATGGATCAAAATCGAAAAAACAAAAAAAACATGGCTTTTCTATCATCCAATTTTACAGTATCCTTATGTTTGGTGGTTTTGTTGCTTCAACCACCCCAAGTTTGGGTTCAATGTTCACCCATATCCCATACCTGCCATACCTCTTCTAGCGCACCAACCTGTCACCATCTGCCATCAGCCCAGCGACTGCGATGTCATCCACCCAGGATTGGATCAACTCCTGCAGAGTCATAGATCCCAAATTCTCCAGATAAATTTATGAGAAATTTTGGGATCTATGAGATCATCTATGACACAATTTGAAAAGTAACTCTGGTACAATTTGTGATATTGGTATTTATGTAGGTATTTATGTAGCAGATCTAACTCCATTTGGCCATCTATGGGATCTATGTTGTCTATGTCACGGCACATGGAAACTGCAAACGGCTAGGGTCAGTGCTGGATCCACTAGAACTTACTGGTGCGTTTTACGCAGGGAATTTGCGTAGGGAAATGTTTGTTAATAATGGTTAATATATGGTTAATGATGGTTAATATTTATGGTTAATATTAATGGTTCATATATGGTTAACCATGGTTAATATTAATGGTTATGATGATGGTTAATGATGGTTAATAAGCTAGTCAAAATCACCATGTTTATTAATAGGTAAACCATCTATATCTATGGACCATAGATTCCATAGATTATCCATAGATTATCCATAATAAGTCCCATAATCTATGGATTATGGGACTTATTATGGATAATCTATGGAATTTTCGGGAATGATCCATTTCATCACTAATCATCCCAGCAACCCCGAGCAACCTATCCAGCAACCCTACGTTTAGCACGCAGCAGTAAGACGAATAGCATCAAATAGCTACAATCAAAATTCAATCAGTGATGGATTGGAATCTATGATAAATTCTCCAAAAAGGTGTTTCTCCACAAATTGGGGCAGCGGCCAAAATCTAAGAACGGCTGGTCGCCAGGCCAGGCAGAAGTGGTACAGATTCTCCAATGGTCTTACCCGGTGTTTTTGTTTCGCAGACAGTATAGCCATATTCTAACTGAGACAGCCGTGTATACATGTAATTACATGTACATATTATACATGTCGCATACATTTATAGTATGTGTCTACAATGTAGAGCCATATTCTACAAGATCACATGAACGTATGTTATGTTACCGTCAAGCCGATGTATGATGTCGTCTAAGTTGCACAGCTCCTGTGCTTCTTGGATCAAGGGCAACATGCATTCCTGGCTCAAAATCATCACCCAAGGGATGATGAGGCGAGGAGAAATTGTGAGCCACAAAAAAACGCCCCGTATCTGCGGGCTAACACATGCCCAAGCTGGAAACCACAAATAATATGTATGGGGAAATACTAAACAATATTTATCTGGGTAAATAAAAATTTTTCACTAATCTGAATCTTGCGGCCATAAAAGTGGATGATGTCCCAAATCCTAACCATGATTTCAGGGTTCGGGAGAACAGTAAGGTCGTGATCAAATTTATCCAGATTTATCCTTGATTCGGTGTTCCCAGTGGTTCATCCTATCTAGGGCTTCCTCAATTTCGAGCCCACGTTAGAACTACCCAGAGCTGGGCGGTAAATCGTCACCATTAATAAATGGGTGGTATTGGGTTTACCATCCCAAAATGATCGGTTTATGGCAGGTTTACCACACGACCAGCATTCACTGGTTGGTGGTTTCAACCAACCCCTCTGAAAAATGATGGACTTCGTCAGTTGGGATGATGAAAATCCCAATATATGGAAAAATCAAAAATGTTCCAAACCACCAACCAGATTCATATCTTTGTATCCACTTAATTCCACTTATACGAATCCTCATATTCACTGGTTCTTAGGTGAGCATCATTGTGGAGGATTAAGTATCTTGCGGGCAACTATGCATCTACTCAGATTGCATATTCAGCGTTGCACCAAATCAAACCAATGACGCCAGAAAACCATTTTGAAATAACAAGTTAAGTTTGATCTTGCCTTTCAGCTAGTATATTTCGTAACTAATCACAGTGCCATGGCCTCTTAATTCTGGATGAGTATCCACAAATAGCGTGAAATTCACCACTTAAGTCATCGCATTAAAACCTCCATTAAATAATTAAATAGTATGGAAACCTCCATGGTCATAGTATAAAGTCATAGTTTTTCCATTAAAACCCTCCATTTCTACAGTATTTCCCAACTAGCCACGTTTGATGAAGGCTGCCATCTCCAGCGATTTTTGCTGAGCGTCTTCGCCCTTCTCCCCAAGCTGCTGTGCCGTGTCTTGCAAACGGCCACCTCAGCCGGGGCAGCCACCAGTTGAGCCAATTGCTCCGTCTCCACCCAGTCTCCACAAAATGGATGGAATATCAGGAGTTACAGTTACCCAACCTGGTAATGACTAACAGTTCGCCATGGTTTTTCGATGGCCCATTGAAATAACATCCCAAAGTCGGTTTCCGACCATTTCCTTTGCATCGGGTGATCCTCCGTGCTAGAGACAAACTCACCAATCACCAAGTCTAGATGGGAAAAACATCAGGAGACCCAATCTATTTGGAACCACCAAGAAGTTTTATTGTCATTTACTCTCTGGCAATCAAACCTTGCAATCGGACTAATCTTCTACATAAATGGAGGTTTAGAGCAGGGAAAATCGTTCATGGGACATGTTCCATTGCCACGTTTGATTACCAGAGGCTTACTGGTGCTTAGCAGGGAATGGATGGCAATGGGGGAATGGGATGGTTATTCTTAGTTATTGTGGATCATTCTCTCATTCCCTGCTAAGCACCAGTAAGGAGGGTGCCCATACTAACCAGTCAACATCAGCTCATCCCGTCCGAGACATGTTGCAGAGATGATCATCCTCGGCAATCTTCAGCAAGCAGGACGCCATGGAACCAGCGGCAACATTGGCCTAAAATGCCAGGGTCAAATCCTATGTGGCACATGCCTTAAACATTTGAGAAAAAGATAGAAATGCTATGAAATGGTGGTCTTCCGAGGTATGTAATTTGATGTCCAGTAGTTACAAGAGGCTGCCACGTTTTGGAAATGCATGCAATTCCTGACGCAAAATACGAAATTCAAATTGACAAGCACTTAATACGACGCTCCCACCTCGTCGATCTCAGGTTCCAACCACCTTGGCACTTAATACGAAGGTCATGTTTCGCAATCCGGCAGAAAACCAACATACAATCTGGTTGGTGGTATACCTACCCCTCTGAAAAATGATGGAGTTCGTCAGTTGGGATGAGTAAATTCCCAGTCTTTCATCCTGCACGATTCGTGAAGTTCATTCATATTTTCTGCACAGAGGTTCCCTCGTTGACGAAGCTCACCATTTGGTAGCGATCATGCCCCGGCAGCCCCGCGATGAGCCCGTGGGTTTATACCCACAACGGGGCTCAACTGGGTCATGATGTGAAAGTTGGTGCCAATCACCCGGGTCACTTCAATAATACAGCAAATGCACTACACAACAGTACCTAATGACAGTAAGGCATAGTAAGGCCTCAGTTTAGGTATCAACATGTAGGTGCTCATTTGTTCCCTTCGGTAAAATCCCAGCCAAATGGTTGATTCAATGCCCATTTCAGTCTGCTAAATGCCTATTTCTCTGGCTGGGATCCCCCCAAGTTACCTTCCTCTTCCACACAGTTGGTAGGTTCTTTGGTCGTTTCAAATCCCAAGTGTGTCCGATACTTTTTGTTTAGAACGCACATGAAATATGTTTGAGAAACATGTTTGTGCTTCAAAAGTATACCCTCTGGCAATTTTCAACATAAACCACCATTTTCAATAGCTACAATCGTCTATAAGTGGGCCATTGTATAGCTAGCCACCCTCCGGGAATCAAAGCTGACAATGGAAAATCCACCATTTATAGATGGTTTTCCCAGTAGAATCCCATTAAAACTAGGATGTTACATTGCCATGTTTGATTACCACAGGGTAGGTATTGAAAATGGTTCATTTATAGACGATTTACCATTATTCACCTATTGAACATGGTGATTATCGCTATGTTTAATTACCAGAGGATACAGGATGGTGCCCCCCAATCATAAGTTAGTGTATACATTAACTAGTTCGTTATATCTACCATAAAGCCACCTATATATCAACTGAACGCTGTCCAACGGGGGGGGCCATCCTCTATCCCCACCATATCACGGCCAGGCACACGACTGGCACTGCTTCTCCCGGATATCCCTGTGGCAGCACCGCCGCCAGTCGCACCGCGGCGCCAAAAATACGGTGCAGGCGCACGGAGAGCGACAGGGCGGAGTGCTGGGGCGGTTGGTCCTGGAATTCATCCAGAAAACCTGATTTAATGGGGAGACAATGGAGATACTTGATGATGATGTAATGGCTATATGATGTTATATCAAACTAGTATATTTGATTGATATTCAATACTATGTACTGCAGTACTATGACTGATATTTGATATCAAACTAGGATATTTGAGGGAGATGTAATGGATGTATTTGGAATATTATGGGAAGAAAATGGGAGTATGATAGATATGATATAATGGGATATAACGGGATACAATGGAGCCACCTCCCGGTGTAAAATCCCTTTCCTCCTTAGGAAACAGACTCTCTCACAAGAAAAACATCTGGGAGGTAGTCTTCCCCATCCTCCGATATTCATAGATCCCCATGTATTGTTTCACTTTGTTCACCTCTTTTTGGGTTGCTTTACCTACCCTCCGGTAATCAAACGTGGCAATGGAACATGTCCCATTTACAAACGATTTCCCAGCTACAAACCTTCATTTAGTTCGGGATTTCCCGGCGGCCACGTTTGATGACGCCGTTGTCCATATTTCCGAGTAAATATCACCATCCTTGATAATTAATAATCTATGAATCACCAGAAAATCCCATTAAACCACCATTAAATCCTATAAATAGTAACTATCACCACTTTTTCCCACAATGAACCACTATTAAATCACCGTTAAATCACCATCAATACGCCAACGTTGGCAGCGCAACGTCTGTCCTCTGCTGCCTGCCTCAAGGTATCCCGCGCGACGTCGTCCACACGGAAGTCACCTTCCTGCGAGAGCCAGAGCTGCGGCGACTGGGGAAGCTGATAGAACCCATAAATGCGGCGATATAGTGGTGTTTCATAGTGATTTAATAGTGGTTGATGGTGTTTAATGGTGATTTAATAGTGATTTAATACTGATTTAATCGTGGGTAATAGTGGGTAGCGTTTTTATTCCCAAACAGTGTGTCCACACTGAGGGGTTCTTATGGTAGGTGTTAAGGCCCGGTGTTCAATCGAGGTGGTATCCAGGGCGTTTGGCATTTTCCGAAAATTTCCGCGCAAAATGCCTCTTGTGACATGTCCATGTGCATTTCAACTGCACAGGCTCCCACAAAATGCTTGCCGCGGGATACGGGTCCGGCATCTTCCCTGCAAATTTCGGCACAAAATACCTCTTCTGACATGTCCATGTGCATTTCGACTGTGCAGGCTCGCACAAAACGGGTGTCGCGGGCTTGGCGTACGGCACTTTTCCTGTAAATTTCCACACAAGACTTCTGTAATGTCCGTGTACATTTCGACTGCGCAGGCTCGCACAAAGTGTGCTTCCCGGTCTTGGGATCGGTCTTCCTCCTCAACATCATCCTCCTCAACACCATCATCTTCCTCCTCCTCAACATTCACATCATCATCTTCCTCTCATCATCATTTTCCTCTCATCATCATCATCATCATCATCATCATCACCATCACCATCACCATCATCATCACCATCACCATCATCATCATCATCACCTTCATCACCTTCATCATCATTTTCCTCTCATCCTCATCATCATCACCATCACCACCACCATCACAATCAGCACCATCAGCAGCATCATCATCATCATCATCCTCATCATCACCATCATCATCAACAACATCAGCAACATTAACATCATCATCAACATTATATATATAATACATGATCCTTTTACTCCCCCTCACACTGTTTGGGGTCTCTTGCCGGGATAATATAGTGATTTAATAGTGGCTAACGAACAAAACATTCTCATCTCACCACCCATATAATGGTGAAATAATGGTGAAATAATGGTGAAATAATGGTGAAATAATGGTGAAATAATGGTATATACAATGATGTGCCATAAATAAGTCTTGTAAAGCAAAAATAAGACCCACAACTGACAAGATGTGTGAGTTCATTGCTGTAGCAAAGGGAATGATGGTTGAAGAGATCCACTGGCCTTGACTTCCAGGAGGATAGAGGAACAGCTATCAGCTGATATGATGGTGTATGTCCATATATGTTTTAACCACTTTAACCACATTGGTAGAATATATCTGGGTAAATTGTAATATGTCACTCATCTGAGAAAAAATGAATTAAGGCCTCTGATCTTCTCTTTTACCGACTGCCCTTCGGGGATGATTTCCAGTGAGGGAGATCAGTGAGGTCGTCATATTTTATCCAGATATATGTGTCATCGTGTGATATCATACATCCTCTTGTGCCTGGATTTGTAACATGGTTCAAGGCCCTACAATATCTACCAATGATGTATGCTGAATCCCAAAGCTGATGTTCCGGTTCATGAACTTGTGTAGTGGCTTCCCCTTGGAACTACAATCATTCTGTGCAAAAATTGACAAAGAAACAAGCTAGAGAGAATAACTCAACTGCACAGTTATGTCCACTAACCATCTGAGTGAGTCAGGATATCGAGTATACCACCCAAATTGCCATTGAATTGGGAAACTTATGAGAAAAACCACATCCGATTGCTGGTGTTCCCCGAAGTTTTCAGACAAACCCCTGCTAATCTCCCCTGGGTCAGCCAACATCTTTCGTTTGAAAACATCGTATCTGGGTAAATTAAACAGATTTCACTGATCCGGAAAGTTCGGCTATTGTGGGATAGTTACCCCTAGGCCTACTAACTAACCATCATTTCACTGATGTCGCGACATCAAGTCGTGCTCAAATTGATCCAGATCATCATCACATTATATCCCCACTCATATTCCATTTATATTCCAGCCATATCCCCACTTATATTGGAGAGTTCATCATCATATATCATATATGTGATAGTATCATCCATTCATATTCCAGTCAAATATTTCAACGGTATCCCCATGATACCCATGTTTCTGGGAAAATTATCATATTGCACTAACCTGAATCTTGCGGCCATAAAAGGGGATGATTTCCCGAATAAAAACCATGATTCCCAGGGTTCGGGAGATCAGTGAGGTCGTGATCAAATTTACTCAGATGTTTCCCTTCAAAGGCTTTGTGACGGATCCAGCTCTCCTCGAAGTAAATGGCGCTCAAACTTTCAATCTCCAGCAGCTGTCGCGACTGCCAGGCGGCTTCGTCCATGGCGAGTTCGTGAAAACGGCAGAAGAGTAGCGGCCATACGTCTCCCCAAAAATGTGGCTCATGATGGCTGATCGTTTTCGGGCTGGAATATGGGTATGATCTGGGTCTGATGATATCAAAGTGACACTGAACTCTTTTTTTATCAGCTGAGAAAAAGAAACTGTGACTTCTGTGACTTCACATCATGCCAATCAGGACTTGATCATCTGAATCCAACAATGCGCCATTTTCAGGTGGCATTTTAGGGCATTGTTGAAGCTGGTTCTTCTCTTATGTGCCAGTCTCTTAACTCAGTGTCTTAACTCACAGGTTGAAGGTTGAGTCTCAAGAAAACAGTCTAATCTATAGTCTATACATATATATATATATTATAGTTTATATATATATATATGCAGTGACAAGAAAAGCTTCGACATCTCAACAATCTCTATAGCTGAAACAGGGTAGGATGGATGCAAACTCAATCGCTTAGATCGAAAGAAAAGCCTGCAAATTGTCAAAATGAACTGATGTCTATGAGTCCACGGATTGTAGGACGATCATCACTGCAATGGGGACATGTCGCTAATACTTAATACCTGGATAACCTGGTACTGAAGTCATTGGATTGGATTGGTTGACCGCAACCCCCCTATTTGATCGATAAAAAATCTGATTCCCTCCAGCTTTTCTTTCCAATCCACTGAAAATCCCAGTGTTCATGCTGCGAGCCCAAGTTCTTCCCCATCTGATGGTCAAATGCCGTCCCAGCAGGGGTACACCGCCATTTCCGTCAAAGCGCCTTGGCAGAAGCAACGGTCGCAACGCTGGCCGCGATACTGTTCCTGGCCGGAAGCCACCCGAAAAAACGAAGAGTAAGGATTTCACCGGCAGAAATGAGGGGTTTTACCTCCCATCTAATTATGGACAAGTTCTCAATTACCCTCTGGTTAGGACTAACATAGCCACGGTATAGATGGCCCATAGATGGTTTACCTGTAAAAAATGGTGGATCTTTCCATGGCTATGTTAAATAACCGGATGGTAAATATTGATGATGTTGTTTGGATTGAAAAGAGCAAACTTCATTGTGATGGTTGTGGTTTGTGGGGTAGTCATTCTCAAATAGGAATAGTAAGAAATGTCTGAAAGCATCAACCCAGGTGGTATTCGGAATGTTCGGAATTCAGCATGATCTCAAATCACGTGCAATCAACCGCTTGCTAAATCAACGACCACTATACAAAATGCCTGGGAACTGAGAAAAGAACTTGACCTTACCTTCAACCATTCAGTGGAGCCCCATGATTCTTAAAGTCTTATAGTTCCAGCCGCTTCCCCTACAAAGCATGACCCCTGACTCCGGGCCCCCCACATGCAGAATCACCGCCAGTGGGGGAGAACGCCATACCACCTGCGCCAGAATCACCGGCATCACCGGCGGTCCCGAAGCAAATCATCCCATCGAAAGCAACCAGGGTTTGTTTGGAGGATTAAACTACAGGATGGGGCCCCCCAGTTATAAGTTGGTTTATAAACCATTATAATCCTCATTAACTATAGTTATATCTACCATAAACCATTGTTAAGCCACTTATAAACCAACTTAGCTATCTTGGGGGCCCCATCCTGTACAGATTTGTGGCACAACGGGGCTGCTGAATATGGGGGACGGGATCAGACTCTTGAACCCAACTCAGGAGAGGATTGGCAGAAAGTCAAGCATGAAAAGGAACAGATTTTTGCCGTTGCACAAAAGGTGAACCTCGAAAAAAACAACAAATCCGCACATTTGGGACACGCGGACCAATGTTGATTTGGCGATGTTCGATCCAAATTATGTGGTGGTTGTCTCCAGGTTCACTGTTCCATTCCCAGTCTTGGTGGTGTTGAATAAATCCTCACCGTGTCAAATCCAAATTCATTGCGAACCTTACATGCCCCTGCATCAACATGTTTCAAAATGACATCGAGGAAAGCCATGGGAGCAGCGAAAACAGCAGTCCATTGAGCCCCAATTTTGCTGGTGAAATCTGCAAATTCTGCTGGTGAAATGAAATGGTGTGACCGGATTCACAGCCTCGCCAGGACATAGTTCCTGACCGCTTCAGGACTTGACGACTTGTGGCTTGTACAGTATTGGAATACGACTGGGGAGTAGCATGACGGCATTCAACAAGAATGGGATGTATAATGGGTATATCATGAGAATATCCAGTGCATATAACCAGCAATTTGACCTCTTGTAACCAAGTCTGAATTATTCACTCCGAATCTACTGGGGCCGATCATAGTAGCTGTAACAACTGATGCTCACTTTTGTTCGCAGTTTTTTTGCGCACCCGAATCCTTTACCCTCCGCTAATCAAAGTTTGGCAATGGAAAATCCAGAATCCACGATTTACAAATGGTTTTCCCAGTTAAAAAAAAAAAACTACCCTCTGGTAATTCAACATAGCTATTGAAAATCCCCCATAGAAATAGTTGATTTACCTATTCAAAATGGTGATTTTCTATTGTTTTTTGTATGTTTACCAGAGGGTATAAAACTAGGATTGTCCATTGCCATGTAACATTCCCGGGTAGCTATTGAATCTGAATGGCCCAAGCTCAACGATCATCTGATTGATGGTTGAACCACCCATACCAAAAAAAACATCATGAGTCGATTGTGGGAGTACCATCCCAAATACAAAAAATCAATGAATTTCAAACTCTCTCCATCTATATTTGTATATATCGTATACATGTATATATGTTTTTCCTCTAGCTCGTAGAGTCGACATATCAGCATTCTTGTTGTTATTGTTCCCATTATTGTAATTATTGTTGCTACACTCATACTCAATTATTCCTATAGACATTACATCCATATATATATATATACATTAGCATATATATATATATATATATATTAGCATGTATATATATATATATATTAATATATATATATTAATATATATATAGTAATATATATATATATAGTAATATATATATACTAATAATTAAATATAGTAATATATATACAGTAAAGCATATATGTATAGTAATGTATATATATATATTAATATATATATAGTAATATATATATATAGTAATATATATATATAGTAGTACATATATAAAATTAGTAATATATATATATAGGAACATAAATATATAGGAACATATATATATATATGTTAATATTTATAAATACTTATAAATATTAACATTAAAATATAATAAAGATATATATATATATATTATTAATATATGTATATATAAATATAGTAATATATATATATATAAACATAGTAATTTAAATATATATATATAGTAATCTAAATAAAAATATATAAACATATTTAAGCCTCGCGCATGGGGTGAATCCGAAAAAAACGTGAAGTTCGTATATCCAAATGTCCGAGGCTCTAAGAACGGTTGCAACATTGCAACAAGAAATGCATGACATCTTTATGCCAAGTGTTTCTTAGAAGCGACTTAAATGTGGAGCCTTAGTGCTCGTCTTTCTTTCTTAGGTTCACATTGACGGCACACCCTGCTATCCCTTGTCATGAAGACAACACCCGAACTGCGAAGTCTAGGTAAACTGTTTGAGATGACATAGGTTCAAAACATGTGACATGTAAAAGATCTACATGATCTCAAGTTTTGTGTTCGAATGTATACGAACTTGTTCAATCCTTGTGAACGTTCTCAAGTAAGAAACACAAATACGATTACAGTTACACTACGTTGCAATACAATACACTATTTTAACTGCAGTACATTAACACGCAGCAAAAACGAACAGAGTTCCCCTTGGAGGGGAACGATCCCTCGTTGTAAATGACAACATGACGCCAAGAGCCACACTAACACAACTGCATCTCTAAGGGACCCCGCCGGTAAAAATGCTTCTAAAACGACACACCAGACCCAAAAAAGGCAACGAAACAACCAACCGAAACTTTGAAAAGCGAACTCCAACGTCACTGTTACAGCTACAAAAACCGTCCCAGATAACAATTGACATTGGAATGCTGCTACCTTTGCACTGATACGAATTATATCCCAAAAAAAAGTTGGAGAAAGAAAACTAGCAGAGTTTCCCATGGAGGGGACCGACCCCTCGTTCTAAAATGACAAAATCAGGTTCAGGCAAACAGCGAGACCAACACAACAGCGTCTTTGAGGGACCACACCAATGAAAACGCTTCTTCACTCAAAGCATCACACCTGACAAGAAACTCAATAGCAACAACCCCTCAAAAAAACACTTTGAAACACAAACCCCAGCGTCACTGCTACCACTACAGAAACCTTCTTAGATAACAATTGACATTTAAATTTAAATATTACCTTTGCTCATGAAAATATATTTGGTCAAAAAATTTGGAAAAAACGGGCAATTTTTCCCCCGGAGGGGACCGACCCCTCCTGCAAAATGACAAAATTAGGTTCAGTCAATCAGTCGCACAAACACGACCGTGTTTCTAACGCTCAAAGTCAACTTCCGAGCCTCCGCTACAAAAACAGGACCGGACGCCAATCCAACCCTGCATCCTTGGCGTTTGCGCTCGGGGTGTAGGCCTCCAAGCCAAAGGATTACTTTCGTTTCAACGCGCATGAAGCACTGATCCATTCGCGCCTCCTCGCGCATGACTGGTGGGGAGCGCCTTTTGCCGTTCCCCGTCCGTTGCATTTCAGAAGTGCCCGGCGCCACAATCACCATGTATGGCACCTCTGAGAAGGTATGAAAGCACACAAATTCATATGGACAGATTGCCCAACCCGCCTGTCGCCGGCGAAGCAGAGGACGCTTTCGCAGGCGACGCAAGCGGAGCTTCTTCGAAGGGATGCCCCTGGGTGAGAGCCCGCAAAAAGCATAATTAAACTTTGCACACGTCAAGCGCGGCAACTACTGACTTAGGTCGAGATGTGTGGTACGCTTTGGTATTCATCAGCCTCAAAAAGGCACAACGACGGATTCGCTGCTCACGTAATTCCATTGCACACATTTCGTTTCATTTGCATTG